TGTTTTGGCTCAGCGCTATTGATGCTAAGTCACCAGCAACGACAACGAAACACCTCAGATCGAGTACCACGACGAGTAGCTTAGACTTCAAATCGGTGGATATCCTATGATATATTGTCACTGTTATAATACTGTTATTATTTATCATTGTTATTATTTATCATCATTATTATTTGTTACTGTTATTTATTGTTATTAATATTAGTATTTATTATTATTGTTATTAGTATTATGCTGTATTATTGACAACACCAAGTTCTTTCGAATTTTGGCTAAGGGATTGATCGCGTTTGTATCATAAAATAGAGAAAGGATAAAGACAGCCAGTCACGAAAGTGAGTTCCTAAAATGTCCATCGAGGAATGTGCATGTCAAAGAGTTGACAATGAATGAATAAGTATATGCATAATTCATCAGCGAAAGACAGCTGATGATACAAGTTTGACGGTGCATGTCACTCAATAGTTAACACTTTTGAAGCCAGCACGATCCATTTAATCTCGTCAATAGATCTTCATTATCTCATTTAAGTGGACATATCAACGGTTAATTCAATTTCTTTTCATTTCATTATATTCGTGTCCGTATCTGACCAAACATCTCCTTCTTCCGCTTCCTCCTTTATCTCTATTTGCTTATTTGCCCAAGCTTTTATCCATATTTGAATTACACTACTCATACGATACCAATGGCAATCCCTCCTACCATTGTTGCTGTTGTTGGCGTGCTGATTATTAATTACATACCATAATAACATAGTTCATGAGAATAAATTTCCGTGCAACAAAACAAAATAAGCCATTACGGTTCATCACCACTAGAATAATCCCAACATCAATCGTACTGAATGCAAGCAAACACCTCATTAACATATCATCAACAGCTCGGTTTCGTTATGATTCATCTGTGGTAAAACAAGTATAAATAAGCCCTATAGACAAACATCCCATCTAAGTCTAACAGCCCTAACATAAACCTCTATCTAAGTCTAAGCCTAAACTTAATTCTGAGTCGTTTTTAAGTGAACGAGACTAAACTGCATCAACCGTTTGTTTCCCTGAACTGCACTCTCCCATGATCCACGTTACCACCACAGTAAAACGTTTCGAACTGCATGGTATGATAGAATAAATACACAACAATGAAATTTACTATAACAATAATGATCAAGTACTGACTGCTCGATGGGCCTATCTATCTATATGATAGTTCTGCACAGCTTGACAGATCTACTGAAATAGCTTATAAATCATGAAAACTATTCGCACACAAACGCATTTTGATGACCAACCACAAATAAGGTGGTAATTATAAGAAAGTTAAACAACCTAGATGCTAATGTTCACACAATCAGTGCAATGCAAAGCATGAGAATATACTTACAATTAGATTGTATTATAGTTAAAATTTTATGAAACACCTTGAGGTGAACTTTTGAAATGGCGATTATTCGCAGAGAAAAGCCGCGTTGACCGATTTTAATAGGATGACTTCAAATCATCAGAAACTACAACGAATCTGGGCATGTTTCTTCTGGATACCGAAAAGACTGACAAGAGGTTGGGACAAAAGAGTGGCTTCAATATAATTATTCACTTAGTCAAAGGCAAATTACCCATGCATTTCTTACCATGCAATCAAGAATAATGAAATAACCGTGAAGTATTCAGTTAACATCAATAAGACTAGCCTCTTCGACTGTGCATTAAATTAGCAAATTAACTTCACCAGGTGAAATTGAACTGACAGAATTTCGGATGAGGAACCAGCTTATTTATTGGGATGCCTATTGATGCATCGATCAGTGCACCTCCGAGTGTATGTGCAAAAGCAGAGCGAATAAGAAATGATTGTGGGGTTTCAGTTGAAAAATAATACAAAAAGAATAAATACCATCTAAACGATCGATAGAGGATCAGCGTTTTGTGGTGTTGCAAGTTTGTGGTGATGACGAATTGAGCTTTTTTATTATTCATTCGGTTAATGATAATCAAAAAGCCGTGATTAGTACACGTATAAATACGCTGCTCATCAGTCCATTGTTGAAGACCTGAATTCAACTCATATGGGATTAATTCAATGGAGTGGCTTCTCCTCGACAAAACTTCGCAACGTCAACGCTGTCGAGTCAATTTGAAGAAGTCATATTTTAATGTTCGTTTATTCGCTTGCGTTTCTTTACGAGTTCAAGATCAGTTCTTCTTCACACTCTCTTAAACTGCAATACACATCTGAAATACCGCTCAATCTTAACCTACGCTCTTATATCAGTCATCGCTCAACTCAATCCTAGATGAGTTTGACAATAAATTATGAAAATTAATTGAAATTATGATTGAAAATTCAGTGTTATTACTAGCGAACTTCGATAACGACTTGTTGAATGAACGGCTATAAAATATTACACTTCTCCAAGCGATGAACGGATAAACAGATCACTCAATACCGTATTTATTGACCAATCAGCAGAGAACAGTTCTTCGTTCCATTCGTCACCAAACAAGCGAGCATCTTGAGAATACGAAAACAATATGGGTGGTCTCTGATCGCGTTCACATCACTCAAGAGGAACTATCAGGTATCGAAATTCGCTTCATCAATTAATGTCACCCAACAGTGAACACAAGCGACTTAACCAGTCAAAATTACTTCATATAAAAAATCACTAGTTTGCCTCTACTTTCTTTTCAGAATATAACTTAATGACATTCGATTATCAACACAGCACTGCAAAACTACACCATCAAACTGCATTCAACAAAACATTCCTTTGATAGCATTTATTTCATAGGCACTTCATTTATACTTGTCATTAAGTTGCAATTATTGTCATTACATATGACTTATTAGGTACATTAAGCTACAAATATACAATCAATCACGCGGATCATTCACCAACGGATCATTCTCCAATGGAACACCAACGGATCATTCATGTTTATTTATATCCAGTTGAACACTAATCAAAAAACTGACGAATATTCAATTTTCGAAATTGCACTAAAAATACGTTATGTATACCTGCATACAACATACACCTTGCAATTATTGTATACGACCAACAACACGTACAGAAATATCACAAAAATAAATGCTGAATAACTAAAAATTGAGTAATTATGTTTTCGATTATATTTCTGTCTGAACAAAATTTTTGTCATTGTTATGACGCAGAATCATCAAAGATCAAGCACTAATATCCCTTGTCATTCATTTATATGAATCGGTTTCGCTGAAACTGTCGCTTCATAACTATTGTCATCAACCGAACTGAATCCATCATTGCCACCCAACAAACATCTAAAGTCATCCATCCATCAATGGAACCATCTACGATAAGAAATTAATGTAGCATCATCGATTCTTAAACGGCAAACGGACGCATCACTTACAAAATCCATTATCATTACCGAGCACATCAATATCCCTTGAACTGTATTCTGTCAACCCTCGCTGATACTGTGAGATCGTTGTCTCTGTCACTGATATGCAACAATGCTGCTGCTGCAGCCTCAGCATTCCACTTGAATCCACACCTAATGAATTGATTTCTCAATTCTTTTCAACCTATGACGAAAAACCTTCAAGCCCTCAGTTGCAGATCAATTAACAATTTCACCTTCAGTTATTTGATTACAGTTTATCCACTCATTTGACTGTTGTCTATTACTCTTTTCCACTGATTAAAAACTATTTTACTTTGTCATCAATTTAAATAATTTAAACATTGACCTGACTGCATGAATGACCCTGTTATTACCGTCTATGATACTTGGGTTGTAGTAGTCATAATTACAATAATAAAAATAATAATAGGAAAAATGCTACTAATAATGATGATGATAATAATACGAATTATAACAATAATAAGAACGACAGTGCTAGTGAGTTTGATTTTAACAGAAACAATCTGATTTGATTTGACAAACTATAAACACGCGAAAATTTTCGACCAGCCCCATCAAGCATTTTGAAGTTGATTGCATCAAAAATCTGACTACTTACTGTTCATACGATACAATTATTATGACTTTTATTACTATCACCAATACGCCGATATAATTGTAAATATCAATATGACATTACAGCAGTTACATCAAGAAACGACATAATTTAATGAAATTGCAATTATTTTCAGCAGGATCGATGAACCATCATTAAAATAGCCTGTACACGGCACGACGAAACTTGTCAATCTGCATGACAATCAAACCAAAGCATTCATTACCATGAACAAAAATCACTCGATACAATTAGGTATAAATTTTCTTAAATTTTCACAAATGCATTTATACATAATGTATTATAATAATAATGATAACAATAATGTTTGTAATATGTTATAATACGATAATCATTAAAGACACATCAAAGGACCCCAGACGGTCAGGTTACGATACTGATCGATTCTTTTTTTCTCCAGTAAAGGAGAATAGCATCTCATTTTCATCGATTAGTGGCCACTGAAACACACTCAACACTATTCGTATTCCATTTCTCAATTGGTTCAATTCGAACAGTTTATTTCAGTAAATTAGCACTTGTGTAACCTTGAAATTCTATTCAAATTATTTGGCAACAGAAAACCTTGAAGTCAATCTCAATAATAGCAACTCCATAAGAATTACACCCAAAATCGATGCACGAGAATGCAATAATGTACAATATAGGTGCGTTTTTAATTCAAATGCATTAGAAGCACACATATAATGTGTACCGCTCTCATTTTGTATTCAATGAAATGAAGACAATAACAAACAGCAGCCCAAAATTTGTGTGCTATTTATCTAAATTCCTTACGTTTCAATTTGTAAATACTCCTCTCTGATTCTTCAAAATCAAATTTAATGTGAATTAGAGACAAAAAAGGAGCGGATGTAAACGGAATCAAATCACCAAGAAATCATTAATCGTTCATCTGCAAATCAATTTCCTTACTCGTGTTGTTGTGATTGTTCAAAAATCATTTGTGAATGACATCTGGGTCGTTGACTATCACTTCAACTGTTATCGGTTAAGTTACTAATCGGTACATCATGCTCCAAATGTGAATGACAACGATGCCGCCTCTCCGGATTACGTACATCAAATATTTCGCATAGTTTTACCTTCAAAACACACGAAAAAACAGATAAGTTTCGAAAAGTTTTCAAATAGGACGTATTCGATCCAATACACTCACCACTAAATTTCAAACATTCTAAAATAACCAAAACATTCAACTGTATACATAAATATAAACACAAGCATGTATTACCCGCACAACAAATTCCATTTGACTTATCAAACATAAAAACAAAACGCGAATCACTCACATTTTCGATTCATTTCGAATTAGTACAGAAATGAAAATTGGGCAGTCCATCGTTCGTAAATATTTTATTTTACATAAAAAGAAAATATCTCCTGTGCACTATGCACTGAGAAGGTAAGTAGTACCTGATCATCATCGTCCCTATAGTAATAGGCTAGCACAGCGTCATGTGTTCGTGCATACTCGAAAACATGATTCAGTGTGTCATTCTTGCTTTTATTTGTGTCCGGCGAATCGCTTTCCTCTCCTTGCCGCCTTTTACTTTCTTTATCATCACTCACTAAGTTTTCTGCTCTTCCAGGTCTAACTGACTAAACAAACAGAAAATTTAGCAATAGTAACAGTAAAAGTAATAGTAATAATAAAAATAATAATAATAAATAACAATAAAATAATAATAAACATCAGTAATAAATAATAAAAAATAATAATAAGAGTAATAATAACAAATAATAAGAATAAAAATAAATAGTAATAATAAATAATAATAAAAACAATAATAACAAACAATAAAAATAAATAGTAATGATAAACAATAATAAATAATAATAAATACCAATAATAATAAATATTAATATAATGATGGTAATAATAACAATAATAGCAATAAATAATAATTATAAATAACAATAACAGTTATAATAACAATAATTAATAGTAACAATAGTTTTAATAATAATAATAATAATAACAATAATAACAGTAATAATAATAATAAACAATAATAACAACATCAATAATAACAATAATAATAATAATAATAATATTAATAATAACAAATGAGAACAACTACAACGAACTGACCTCTTGAATAGCAGCAAGGTTCTGTTGCTGTCTGGATCTTCTGCTTGCCGACAAGAGATTATCTCGACGCCTTAGTGTGTCCAATTCCTGATGAGCTTCAGGCGATAATAGCTCTATATTGAATACTAGTGGTTCTGCATTAACCTTGCATGAACTTACATCCATTTCTGTCACTGCCAACTGACACGTTAACCTTAAAAAACAGAACACATTGCTATCGATCATCACAGCTCTATGCCTTCTGTCAAAAAATTCATTGGTTAGAAGAGCGGTTCTTATACTCCTGTACTTTGTGCCTTCCTTCGATTGTACGGCAATCCACCATGCTCCTCCCAAACAATCTGTACGAGCGCAGTTCCCACCTTAACAATTCCTATCACAGGAAGAACTCCCGCCCTATGAAATCTACTGCATTAGAATGATGCACTCAGGTTATAGTTTCAACAAAAACAAAAGCGGAATATCAAACAATAATCACAAGAACGGCAATGGTCATGAATAAGATACAAATGTCAATCAGAACACCAAACAACAATAATATTGACGACGATGATGACAACACAATAGCAATAATGAACTTCACCTGGCACTGTACATAGTTCGTTGATTCTCGATTTCTTTGAGCACAAAATCAACGATAAGCTGGAATCTTTCTCTGATCCAGTCGTGTTCCGCTAATCCCGCTATCCACTCTGCTATGCTTTAATGAAACATTCAACGTAGTTACTACTTGTGACATTTGTGGAACCATAACACTTTTTGATTCTTAATCATTTAAACGTTTCTCATTGGAATTGATTAATCATAATTTAGCTGCACAAATGAAACCATCCGTCCTATTCCTCTATTCCAAATGCGAAAAAAAAAAATTCCCCTCGCTTCCTTTCAAAGGTCGACAATGATTTCTCTCTGACGATCAGTAAAACACATTAAACAATTAAGATGATAAATTCAGAACAGATCAAAGAAGAGGCGAATGTCAACAGCAAAAATTTTTAAAGAACTTATCAAACAAACTAACTTCTTGCAAATGATGAAGAGAAATTCAAATGGAAGCGTCACATGCTCAGTGGTCGTTTTTAACCAACGCAGTAATCGAAAGGAAAGTAGGTAAGCCAATAAACGATTATCACTCTGAGATGCCTCCTCAATTGCTAAATACAAACAAAAAATCAAAACAAATATGCATTTTTCGTGGATAAAATTGCAAAATGCGCTCATCGTTCTGTTCACAGGTTGTTTTGCAATCAAAACTATACAGTTAACTAAATGAACAAATATGATTTCAACCAAATCAAGTGAATGATACAATCTTATACGTATGGGGATTCATAAAAATCTCAGAATACCGAGCGATAAGTCTCTGCTGTACACGACCATAATTCATAACAAAACGATATTCGGTAACATGTTACTTTCAAACCAACTACAGAAGTACCTGCTTACTAACACAATACAAAGCGCATCAACCAGTTCGTCGAAGCTAGGAAGTGTATGAAGGGAATGAAACAGCAATCATAACGATATGAGAACGACTCAACCAATTACTTACCACGTTGTAAGATTTGTGGGAAAAGTGATGATGATAGCAGACTGTCACTTTGATTGTTGTTGTTATCATCATTACCATTACTGATACCTTTGGAACACTGCTTACATTCCGTTGTGTCAGATCCTGTTGTTGTTGCTATCATTTGACTACTACTGAAAATGATGATTAAAAACAGGAACTGATAAAACTTAACAAACATATATAGTCACCCATTACTTGACAATCACAAGAAAGCAAAACATAAAAACAAACTTGTCTGAGGCTCGTTGAACTTTCAGTTGAGAGCGACTTTTGCGAGAAACAGAAGAAAGTTTCGAGTCGGGTAAATTGATGAAACTTGACTGAACTGCAAGACATCTCATACACGGTACAACACCTATAAAGAATGTGAAAATCACCATTATTACATATATATATATATATATATATATATA